TAATTATCAATAATTGGAAGCAAAATACATTCCAATTATGACCTACTGCTTCTCTCACCGATTTTAGCCGATACAATGACCCGATTCTTTACTTTTGCTCGGAAACTAAATTGACTAGAATGAATTGAGTCTAGCGTCTAATGAACTGGAAGCGTTTTCCCGCCGTTCGACGCGCAGTTCGCTTTTAGCATGAAAACCAAATCAAATATGGCGTCATTTTCCTTGACCTCACCCACCATCTCTCGTCGCCACTACAATACTGGATTATAAGCAGGTTTTGGATTCTATCTCAAACAGATTGATGACACTCCTTTAGAAGACGATTTCTGATTCAGAAGTTGATTAAATAATAAAAAAGACATCAGCATTTCTTCTTAAAATTCAGCATCTGGAATATTCAGTGTAAAATCCTAGTTTACATTCGTATATATCAGTCACAAAAGTGTACTGAATGGTTCTCGGCGCGATGTAATTTCTAAAATGACTATTCGATCAGACTTCAGAACTTGCTCCGAACCGAGAACTTTTCAGTACACCCCCAATATTTATATAGGACGTGTGGTATAAAGGGTTTTTCATTAAGACGGATCAAAGTCAGCAGTAAATAAATCAGTGTTATTGGTGAATTTTTTTTTTATTTTTCTTTTGGATCATGTTATTTAAGTCATAGCAATTATATGTGAAAAATAATATCGCCCAAATGTCCGCCAAATCTGAAAGAAAAAGAAAAAAAATCATTAGACTCTAAAAGTTAATTCACATTTAAAATCGGTCCAAGTTATTGGAACACCTTTTAGAAGGTGTGACATCCCAATCTAAATCCATGGCCTATTCATTCCTTGTTGAAGAATTCAACAACTCAAACGAATAAAAATTCAAAAAATAAAAATAAAAAAATACCCGAAAGGTCACAGAAAACCAGAGAAATTAAATAGCGGAATAATGATATTTTTTTTTTTTTTATGAATTAGCGGTTTAAAAAAAATACATTAGAATTTGTTCGCGATTATCTGTCGCGCTCTGTATTTGGTACGTTGATTTTAACTAAAAGTTACTATTTCGTAGTGTTACACACAGAGTCACACACACACACACACACACACGCACACATATATATATGTGTGCGTGTGTGTGTGCGTGTGTGTGTGTGTGTGTGTGTGCGTGCCTGTGTAAACATTTCGATTATTTACCTCAATCTGACAGAATCTTCCAATTTTCATTCACCCTTTCTTCGTATTAATGGTTAATGATAGGTTTGTATTGAGGAATATTTAAGTATGATGGATAGATCAACTAGTACCGATAAACGTCCTCTGGTACTTTGTTATGATAACTCCTACAGTTCAATATTCCTCTTCCTCCCCCTCCTCCTCCTCCTCCTCCTTCTACTACTACTTCTTCTTCTTCTTCTTATTGTTGTTGTTGTTGTTTTTGTTATTATTATTATTATTATTATTATTATTATTATTATTATTATTATTATTATTACAATGTGCTTTGAATAAATAACATTATTATGGAACCGGGCTGGCAAGAAGTGACGGTCTGGGGTAAAATCGCCTACATGAGCGTTTAGGATAAAATTAGCCATCAGGATATCTTAAAATCGTATATGAAAAGCTGAGCGATATTTTTATTCATTTTTGGGGAAGAAACTGCGTATTATATGCCGCCGATTGTGGCATATCCATAATAATTAATTAGACATAATCTGCGACATGTCAACTGCTTATAGAAATCCCATTTTTGTCGGTCCATTAGCACGATCAAAAACCGGATCATTTCAAGCCGTAAGGAAGTAATTTCGAAAACCATCCTCATAAATGATAAATGATAAATTTGATTGGCAAGCATAAGAATAGGCTGAAGCGTTGTTAATTCGAGTCACCAACACTTTGTTTATTGTTAAAGTAAATCTCTCTTTCTGTACAACATAGACTTACTTTTTCATAGTTCTAGAGTCATTGATATAGAGAAAAACAAACCTAAAAAAAAATGTCTCATCGTAGATTCCTCATCGACAATATGTTGCATTGTAGGGATCAGTCAGTTATGTGCCGTGCGTGATACAAGCTCGGGCGATCATGTATCTTTTGATACATGACTGACGAGGCAGATTTTTCACGCACTAGGTTGTCATTTCTTTCTGCGGTAGACCAGTTGCCATCCAAGGCTATAGAATCCGGTCTGTCCTGCTATTTACTCATAGCTGGCGGGGAGAAGAAGATTCATACCTTTCCTAAGCGTATAAGCACGTAAGTGTATATCAGTCAGTTATGTGCCATTCATGATAGACGCTTAGACGATCATGTATCTTTTGATACATGACTGACGAGGCCCGCAGTAGGTTGCCATTTCTTTCTGCGATAGACCAGTTGCCATCCAAGGCTATAGAACCCAATCTGTCCTGCTACTTACCCTTAACTGGGGGGGGTAGGGGTGGAGAAGAAGAAGATTCATTACATTTCCCAAGTGTATTGGCAAGTGAATGTGATAGATTCGACTGGAACTCGGCTCTCCGAAGCCTGAATCCACCGTGCTATATATTAGCGTGTTTCTCACTTCAAGTAGAAGATAAATCTTTTAACTTGTTTCTTCACATTCAGTCAGTTATGTGCCATGCTTCATACACACTTAGGCGATCATGTATCTTTCGTTACAATACTGACGTGGCAGATTTTCCCGCAGTAGGCTACCATTTCTTCCTTCGGTAGACCAGTTGCCATCCAAGGCTATAGTACCCGTCTGTCCTGCTATTTACCCTTAACTGGGAGGAGAAGAAGAGGATTCATACCTTTCCCAAGGGTATTAGCACTTAAGTGAATATAATAGATTCAACTGGAATTCGAACTCGGCTCTTGGATTCCTCAATCCGAGCCGCTATAAATCACTCCACAGTGAGTGCCTTCTCCTGTAGGGATGCAGAAGACGATTATCTCTCTTTAGTGGAGATAATTCACGTGGGTCACGTAACTGCCGCTTATTGACCTCACTCTGTGCAGTGACGAAAGCGGCAGTAAATTTCTGTCGGTTTAAAGTAAACAGAGAGATTAGCATGCCCCACTACCCCGGCCAGGAGAGAAGCTAAATCTGCCTTCCCGGTGCCTTACAATTCCATGGTGTCGTTTCCCTTTGATATAGACAGAATCTCCAGCTTGCAGTCTTCAATTTGGGAAAGCCTAAGACTCGCTGTTTCTCGTTCGTGGGGAATATCTTCACCTGGGACATAGTAATTGAATCCGGCCCTTTTGAATCTGGTATCTGAAACATAGCTTCTCCAGAAACACAGAAGAATTTCCATATTATATGAAAGGCCCTTCCTTTTTTATTTCTCCTTACACTGCTTTTCCGTGATATATTTTCTCTACGTGGGACACTTGCATATATGTATATATAATTTTGTGTATGTTGTTTTAGTGGTATGAAAGTTTCTTTGGGAACAAAGCATGTTTTTTCATTCCTTTTTCTTTCAGCTATTCCGTTCCGTCCGTGAACCAAGCTGTTATTATATCATGGATATAATAATGCCCATAATAGGGGAAATTAAAATGGAGGATTAAATCCTTCTTCATTAACTGTTGAACATGATGTATTATTATTTACCTCTATTAGTATAATCCGCAAATTTAGGATGCCAACATCTTTACTTCTTTGTATTGCCGATTATATCAACCAGTCCCTAGCTCGTGCAAAGAAAATAATACATAGACCGATCGAACCAACTTGCAACAGCAACCCGTGTAACACAGGCGATTCCATCATGCATATGCTTCTGTTGTACTACTTGGCCGTATTGGTATCGCGAGTGAATATTATTTACTTTTTATGTGTGTGTGTTTGTTTATCAAAAAATGTGGTTAAGTGCTTTACACTTTTTATTTCGAAGTATTCTTCTTAGTTGAAATAGTTGTTGATGCAAACAGAAATTTTCGGTCAAGTACCCACTTGTCATCATCAGGATCCCTGTTTGACTGATACGGAATATCTGTTGATAATTGTGTTATTTTCTCCCTGTGACGCCAGTTATTGTTCATCCCTATCGAATCATTGTCTTACAGCTTGATTCAGTTGATGACAGCGACATGTCTAACCAACACTTATAACCACTACGTTGTTACAGTTTTTTGTGTGTATATATATATATATATATATATATATATATAACTAATGAGCGAGTCAAAATGATTTTACTCCATTTATACTCCACCAATTAAAGGTTAACCAATCAAAAGCCGCAGAACATTGTATCCGTCGTGTATAAAGGTGGCCATTTTTGTTTACCCTACCCGAATGACCAGTGCCAACTTGTCAGGTGAAGATGACAGAAGGAAGTACTACACTCTGCTACTTTGCTGCGATATCCACTGCTAACCTGAACTACGCTTTCCTACTGTCTCCGAAATATTCACTGCTAACCTCTGGATTCAATACTCGAAGACGACCGTCATGAATTTGTAACATACGTTACTGAACCGAAAGTTAAGTGATGTTTTTTTTTTTTTTTCAAACAGTGAAATTAAAACAACTGGCCTAGAATAAGAAGTCCCACTAAACAAAGATTGTGCCTCCGACATGAATCGAACCTGTATCCCATTTTCCATCAAGGAAATTGTTTCTGTAGCCGAAACATGGTTTTACTACCTCTAGAGAAACGGTTTCCCAGAAAAGTGGATACCAGTTCGATTCTTGTTGAGGAGAAAATCTTTCTTTATTGATTGATTTTTTTACGGTTTATCAACCATTTACAGTTTATTTAAAACCAGAAAATATTTCTAGATTGTAAGAATTTGGGGCTTGAGAAATATTAATGATTCAGTGATACAAATCTTACTAATTAACCCATAGCTGGGAGGAGAAGAGGCGGATTCGTACCTTTCTCCACGGTAATTGCGCCTTGGTGAATTTAATGAACCACACTGGAATAGGAACTTGTCTTTCCAATGAAGAATTCCGAATCATTATCCATTATAACTGCGGCACATTCGGCCACATGCGGCTTAGAGCACCTGGTATTCTCAAGCGCTCAGCCACTTAGGTACTGACTAGGCTCGACGTTGCCTAACTTCAGTGATTGTATGGGAACCGATGTTTCAACGGGATATGGCCGTAAGTTCAAACTCATTCTTTAATAGGACTTCAAAATCAAGGTCGGTTGGTATTAAATTTTAATTATTAATTTTAATTTAATAAACTTCTTTAGTTTAAGAAAATAAGACAAAAACAGAGAGAGCAACTCAAGCTTGTTTAGAAACTAAAATAACGTTTATAATAGGAAATAATGCCAGAAGGAAGATAAAAAACGCCATTCAAAAATGTGTGTATATATATATATATATATATATATATATATATAAAATCCAAGATATATATACATATATTACATGAATCCTTCATACAAAAAACAGATATTGAATTTAATGATATAAATGGCGAGAAACTTCAATATCTGTTTTTTTGTATGAATGATTCATGTAATGTAAATTGAACTGCACCACATACTTGATATATATATATATATATATATATATATATATATATATATATATATATATATATATATATATATATATATAGGAAGTATAGGATTGGTGTATACGGAATAAATTCCAATAACCAACAAATACTATTCTTAAAAGAGTGCTCAGTACAGAGAAGATAATCATTTATTCGAAAATTAGAACATAAACCTGTTATAAAATCACTACAAAAATAGCCATTTTGTTTCAACACTTCTGGTGTCTTATCAGGTGATGGTGTTGAATGTAGAATAAAGTGTTTTAAAAGTTTCAAATCAATCAAACATCCTTCGCTGAGAGAAACGATGTTACATAAGCTGCAATGACCAATCAAAATACAAGTATACGAGAATTCAAAAAACTTCACAACGAACTTAAGTTATAATAATTATTTAAATCTTTAATGTTAGGGTTAGACTAAAATAGAATTTATTCTAACTAATAAATATTAAATTATATTATAAAATTAAAAATTACCAATTTTAAATTTAATCGATATTAAGTTTAAAATTATAAAATTATTTAAAAAAGAAACTGAGGAAAAATACGTCTTTTTAATTTATTTTGTTTTTATTGAAATTAAGTTGGAATAAACGTTAAGATCTAAATAGTTATTATAACTTAAATTCGTTGTCAAGGTTTTTGAATTCACTTGAGAAAACACCAGAAGTGCTGAAACAAAATGGCTATTTTTGTAAGGATTTTATAATTTTTATTTTATGTTATAATTTTTGAATAAGTGATTATATATATATATATATATATATATGTGTGTGTGTGTGTGTGTGTGTGTGTATTCTTGTGAGTGTTTCTTATTGACAGATTGATGTCCGTATATTAGAATGGATAACATGAAGCAAATGTTCACAGTTGATGTCAGATTTATTAATATTTAAAGCTTTCGATTTCAGTCATTGTCCAAGAATCAATGGCCATATCGTCAGTGGAAAGCTTGAAATATTAAATAAACAGACATGAACTTCTCATAGCCCCGTCATACCTTCGAATATATTGACATCAACTCGTCAATTATTAAAAAGAAAAAGTATTTTATTATATACCAGACTCAATTTATCAATTATATTTAATATATATATATATATATATATATATATATATATATATATATATATATATATATATATCGGTGTAACCACAAAATTGTCCAAATTGTGTAACAGCCTAATTATCCACCCCAAAAAATGTTTAATATCACTGCACTAGTTTCTTTTTCACAGGTTTTCAGATATGACGTTTATACATCTTTGACACTATTTGTTGTTAGAATCTCGGAAATAAGAGACCAGGTTAAAATCATTTTGTATCAGACCTACTGACTTCTGAACTGAGCAATGGCGAGAGGAAAATGATCATTCAGGTCTTCAGTAATTGTGCCAACATTGATACTCTGGCTTCCATCTTCAAAGGTCCATTCCAGAACCATCAATAGAACGGTGAATAAGTTTAAAATAGAGAGAACAGCAGAGAGGAAAAATGAATCAAGAGATCTGAACTTTATTTCAATACTTCATGAGCTTCTGATCCTCAGCTATGATTAATTAATGATGAACATGTCATTTTCGTTTATGATCGATTTCATCACGATTCTACTGTCAAGTTTGGAGAGTAATTATTCATTCTTATTGCTCAGGGTAGAGTACCATAGTGTTATAGAAACCACGGAGAATTCCAGTAAGATATCTTTAATCATTTCTAAGATACAACGGTTCAGAATTTAATCTTTCAATTGTGCAACTTCGGTGTTACACGATTTGAACACTTTTGCTGTTACACCTGTCGTATATATATATATATATATATATATATATATATATATATATATATATATATATATATATATATATGGCCTGACGATTGCGTCTAGCGGGAAACAGACTGTCACCTCTCAGTGCTGATTTCTATGTTCAATTTATATTTACACATGCTCTCTCTCTTATATTGAGCACTTTATCCCATAAATATAGCACATCTTAAGACTATATTTCTTCATATATATATATATATATATATATATATATATATATAGCTTTTGGAATTTGTAGGTCTGATGAATTGATTGTTATTATGATTCCAATGTAATAAATTATAACCATGGAAAATATTAGTGTTTCAGCCTTTTATATTATATATATATATATATATATATATATATATATAGACAAACGGAAAAATATCTTAGCCAATGCCTCCCCTCTTCTGATGGATTTCATAAAGGCATTTGTAAGGATTTTATTTTGCAACAAGTATTTATAAACAAAAGTAAAGTGTTAATTATTCAAATTTTTTCAATTTAAGAAACAGTCATATATATTCATCAGGATAACTGAAAAGTCATGGTAAATTATGGAGGATGTTAAGTGACATAATTTAATAAACGAAAGTGTGTAAATGATGCCGTTTCTGATTTATTTATAATGTAATCAATATTTATACTATTTTAGTTTGTGATTCATTTATGTATGACATATTTTAAATAAAAGAAGGTTATGAATTATTATAATTATTATAATTGGAAATTATGTAACATTATTGTGACGAGGTTCAATTCTTGCACACAATGCCGAATAGAGGTGTTTGGATTTTCGGCCACATTCTCGTGCACTGCAGCAATGATTTCAGCTAAACGGCGTAGCGGGCACGCAATGGTGTTTTCACATTTGCCACCGACCCAGTTTGTTTGAATTTACGAACAATTTTTCCATTATGTTGACCGATTATGTTGACCAAAAAACTGGCGACGTGCGCGAAATGCATTTCAGTTTGAACGTCCATTTTCGTAATAGGCTTCCATAACTTTAACACGTTGTTTGATTGTTACTATTTCCATGGTTGAAATTGCCAGATTTAAGTTTCTTCGGACTGTCTCTTCCTGTAGATGCCCCATTATGCTTTCCCATTTCCTCAAAATTTCGTTGTTTTCTATATAGTCCTTCAAGATGTAGGCGATCACGGGTGTCCACAGCTTCCTATAGCACTAAGCAATGTTTGTTCCTCTTCCGCCATCCATTTCCACAACCTGGTTTCGTAGGTTACTCGCTGTTTCTCTGTGCCATTCTTGCCTTCATGTTTTCAAGTGTCAATTTCTCAAAGTTTTCATCTCGCATTATGGGATTAAAAAACATTTAAATGTAAATATATCTATTTCTGATACCATGAATAATTTGATCGTTTTAGTCTTCATGTGTCATTAGAACTTCCTACTTTTCCAAATGCTCCAACCATGATATTCTGGGTTGGTATTTTTTCTGGCATATCAATACCTCAATGGGTTATTTAATGTTGACAAGATTTTTTAGGATAAGTTCGAAGGAATAGAATATGTATTCTTTGTAAGAAATCAGTTTGTAGATCAGGTTTCAGTGACGTATTTTTGTAAAGAGGGTTTTTGTCGAGAGACTAATCTATTGCTGGTCATACTTTTTTCCAAAAATGTGTTGCTGGAATTTTTACCATAAAAATCTATTTTTATATTTTCATAGTTTTTTGGGCCATAGTTTGAGGGTTGACTATTTGCCCATAGTTGGGCCCCTAACAGGTGCTACCACCCGAGGTCAGAGTGAACTTGAGAAGAATAGCGATTTAGAGGTGGTTCAAAGTTCCTCAAAACCTCCCATTTCTGCTGCCTCAGCTCATGTCTTGATCTGTGAAGACAACTGTCCAGAATTCATTGTCATATGGGAGCTGGGATATAACAAAAAAAAAGCCGAGAACTCTTTTCTTCGTTTCTAACTCAATTTCCCTGATTCTTAGCTTTTGGAAGGAGTCTTTCGCTAACATAACGCGCCTTATTCTTAAATTCTCTTCGTTGTCAATTCGCAACGCTGTTCCGTCTTGAACTACAAATCCTAGATTTTTCATTTTCCAGTTGGCTATTAGCGGAGTGCAATTATTGAAATAATACAAACTGAAGCCAATCTGGAAAAAAAATGTCCAACTCCGAAGGTTTCTAAATTTTTCTTACCAGCCTGAAGTCGTCATCAGAGATATAATTAGATAGATGGCGAGGGTCGTAAGTGCGTGTGAGGATATTTTTCTTACTTACATCTGAATAAAAGCAATGGGGGATTTTGATTAATAAACCAGTACTTCGTGGCCTCATTTCAGGTGAGTGCTTCGAAAATTCAAATTAATCTGTAACCCTTTCAACCAGAGAGATCTTACACGCTCCACTGGCAATATTTCATTATATAAATTCTTCCACTTTTCTTACATAGATAAATAAAACATCGATATATGTAAGTGTGTTCATCCAAATTATCGTATAGATGTTGGCATGTGTGTGCGTATGTTTTTTCCACGTTTCTGCGCATATACACGTTGTTCAGCCCTCGAATATGAAAGTGCAAATATCAGTACCAGTGCGTACATCTCTCGAGGCATATCATTCACGTTCTCGTTTATTGAATATTTGTATCATGTCTTTCTTTATATCCATTGGTACGCCAAAATAAACAACATAATACAATATAAGCATATAAATGTATCTCAATACACAAACACACACAGACACAGATAGATAGATAGATAGATAGATAGATAGATAGATAGATAGATAGATAGATAGTGAGTGAGT